AAAAAAAAAAACACCTTTTTAAGCGCTTACAAAGCAAAGAAGTAGAGAAGGGAAAAACACTGAACACGTAAGATCAGCAAACGTATAATTGTTTACGGCGAATTTCGTGTTGTAAACAATTCGAATAACAGATTTGTTAAATCATCTGTATTTCACTTATGACCTTTCAGCAGTCACGTCGATGCAACGGTTTACCCTGACCACAATTACGTCAACTGAGGCAACAGCAACAAATTGGACGTAAGCGGCTAGCAGCCTTCCGCCCCCTTTCTGTTCTCCTCCCCCTTCACTCAGATTACTCCCGTAAGCGAAGCAAACGAAAGCGCTTAGTTGCACAACTGCATCGACAAATACGCGCAGGGTGCTCAGGGTTCCGCTTCGATTAGACTTCATATCCTATAGAGATACGACATGATCTGTTGCTGTTTTTTAACCAATAGTTTAATTACTGAAGGAGAAAAGAAATCTCAATTTAAAAACGACGGGAAAGCCGTCGATGCAAATGCATAGTCAAAAAAAGGACAGGTTGGATGCAACAATCACCAAACCGTGTCTGACAAACGATGGATCTTGGTGCATCTCTGTCTCTGTCCATATTTGTTGCTGTCAATGATAGCTCCCATAAAAACAACAGCTTTGATACAAGTATTTTGGCGCTACAGCAGTTGAGCGTGCCCACCTCCCAAAGTGTGTTTTTACTGTCAATACAACTTCTTATTCATATATGGAGTTCTCGACTGCACTTGGTCTGTTTATGATATTTTGAAGATGGCTCATGCACTTCTTGGTAACTTCTTACTTGTCTAGTGCTCAAGTTTCCTTTTTATTCTTATGACATTTCAGAAAGTCTTTGCACGGTAGAATGTAGTGCATTGAGTAGTGCTGCATATCCCAAGAGTCTGAAAAGTTTAAATCTACCCTCAAAAGATTTTCCCACTCATAACTTGGCCATTTTTGGTCGGCTCAAAAAGCCTATGTAACTGCAAAATTTTATCTGTTCATCTAGGACTTATTCATCCATGAAGTGAACGAAGAAGTTGTTGGAAAAAACTTTCGGAACACTTGTTTGCTTATATATCTCAAAGTTACTTCCGCCTTTTTTTATCATAATTTTTTACTACCTTTTTTATTTAGGTTCACTGGAGTGGAACAGTTAGCAGATCGAAAAACAACTTTGAGCGGCAGTTTTAAGATCGTCTTTAAGACAGAGGTTTCCACTAAAAGACATACACTATGCTGTAGCGCGCTAAACTCAAACGCCACTCAATTAGAAGATGCAGTCGCCATCCAGTACCGTCACATTTCACTGATAGACCGGTGTTTTCAGACAGCATAAGATTAAAAAGGAAGCTTTGACTAAATAAATCATCAGAAAGTTACCAGAAAATGCATGAGCAACTCTAAAACTATCAAAGATGAATTAGGCAAAACCGAGAACTCCAAATAAGCAGATTAAAGGTAAGCTAGCGGCAAAAGAAGAAACATTTTTGGGGACTGAGCACTTTGTGCTGCAATAGGCTTTTTTTTGGCATAAGATGGGAACTTTTTTGTACACAAAAACACAGTTGTATAAAAATACACCAAAACTGTCCATCGTCCATCTTGTCGTCAAATTCAGTGCGTCAATCTAAATAGAACAGTGAAATCTGATTAAATTTGTCTGCCACAAATGCAAAATTTATTAACAGATAATGGTTTGAAGCGGAATGGAACTGAAAAATTTTTTGATAACGCTGTGGGAAAAAGCACCGACGGTGAACCAGGTGCATTACATAGAAATAAAACAGGGAATAAGTCCACTGTTGATCAACAACTCTCACAAATTCGCCAAACAATTAATCCCTCTTCGTTAAGAAACGATATACCCAATTAATATGAATGTCAGCTGCAATATCAGAAGATTTGGACATCCAAGCTTCCTTGTTCGTAATTCCCACAACTTGTACTTTGCTGGCAGTCAATGCGGTAACCTTATTACCACCAATATGTTTTGGCGGTACTACAGTAGTGGAAGGATCATTAAAATTACTGGGGAAACGGATACCAAAATATGGTATACAAGGTTCCAATATCTGACTCAAGCTTATCTGGAAGCTGGTATGGTGATACTGGACCATAATGAACTGAAATCACCTCAAAAATTAATGGGGTTACTGAATCGGTAATGACACAATGTTCATCAGCTCTACTGAAGCTTCGCTTTTTGAAATTATTTTCTGGTACAAGTTCAGTAATCTCAGTAACTGTACTAGTTGTTTTTTTCTAATGAACCATTTAATTGTGAGACATAATCAGTTGCACTGTTACTAAAATTTGACAGCTGATTTTGCGAATTTCAAGAAATAATTTATGTAAAGCGGCAGAAGTAAGGCAGTTATATAATTATCTCTATGCAAGCATCAAAATTCTTCAACGGCGGTTCAT